CCAATAAAAACGCAAGTTTCTACACCCAAACTAATGCATCCGTTAATCATGCATATCAAAACATACAGTTATCGCGTAAACCTGTACCTCTAGTCTACTATTATAAATCTTAAAAAGTCCGCCGCCGCCCACGCCGCCGTCGGGGTTACTCCCTAAAAGGCTTATTAAGGCGCCGTCGATTGACGCACGAGGGTGAAATTTTCACGACTCGTGGGTCACGTAAATGAACAGGTCGTATTAGATTTTGGGCACGATGCGGCCGGGGGTGCGCCCGTGGCGCGTGCTCATGTGCGCCATAGGGTTAACATTAGAATCGGCATAAACACTTATTAAACAGGCTATTGCTCGGAAACGGTGAGGGCTACGGGGGTGAAATTTTCATGCCAAGTCGAGCGCGTGCACTCATTTGTCGTATTAAATTTTCGACGGTGTGGGTTCAGCGGTGTGCACGTGGTGGGGCCGCGACCGGTGCCGAGCAGAAGGCACGTGCTTTAGGCTCAGTTGTTCGCTTAGAAAACTGAGTGAAAAGCATCAGAGCCAACGAAGGCCGACACAAGGCACCGCTCGCCAAGGGGATTCGCCAGTAAATACAACTAATTTGTTTTTGCAATATCTCAGCCGTTTCTGGGCCGATTTAGCTGAAACTTGGACTGTCGGTGGTAGTGTAGTGTAGGGTAGGGTAGGGTAGGGGATTGTAGGGTAGGGTTGGGTAGGGGATTGTAGGGTAGGGGATTGTAGGGGATTGTAGGGTAGGGTAGGGTAGGGTAGGGTAGAGTTAGGTAGGGTAGAGTTAGGTAGGGTAGGGTAGGGTAAGGTAGGGTAGGGTAGGGTATAGTGTAAGGGTAGGGTATGGTAGGGTAGGGTAGGGTAGGGTAGGGTAGGATAGGGTAGGGTAGTGTAAGGGTAGGGTAGGGTATGGTAGGGTAGGGTAGGTTAGTGTAGGAGTAGGGTAGGGTAGGAGTAGGGTAGGGTAGGGTAGGGTAGGGTAGGGTAGGGTAGTGTAAGGGTAGGGTATGGTAGGGTAGGGTAGGGTATGGTAGGGTAGGGTAGGGTAGGGTAGTGTAAGGGTAGGGTAGGGTAGGGTAGGGTAGTGTAAAGGTAGGGTAGGGTAGGGTAGGGTAGGGTAGGAGTAGGGTAGGGTAGGGTAAGGGTAGGGTAAGGTAGGGTGGGGTAGGGTAGGGTAGGGTAGGAGTAGGGTAGGGTAGGGTAGGATAGGGTAGGGTAGGGTAGGTAGGGTAGGGTAGGGTAGTGGTAAGGCAGGGTAGGGTAGGGTAGTGTAGTGTAGGGGTAGGGTAGGTTAGGGTATGGTAGGGTAGGGTAGGGTAGGGGTAGGGTAGGGTAGGGTAGTGCAGGGGTATGGTAGGGTAGTGTAGCGGTAGGGTAGGGTAGTGTAGGGGTAGGGTAGGGTAGGGTAGGGGATTGTATGGTAGGGTAGGGTAGGGTAGGGGTAGGGGTAGGGTAGGTTAGGGTAGGGTAGTGTAGGGTATTGTAGGGGTAGGGTAGGGTAGGGTATGGTAGGGTAGTGTAGGGGTAGGGTAAGGTAGTGTAGGGTAGGTTAGGGTAGGGTAGGGTAGTGTAGGGGTAGGGTAGGGTAGGGGTAGGGTAGGGTAGGGTAGGGGTAGGGTTAAGTTCAAAAAGGGCCTAACATACAAAACACTTGAACACCCCGCACCTATCACCAACCCTAACAGTTTAATTAAAAACAGCTACCCAAATCTATCCAAATAATACATCTAAAAATACAAGTCAATCACCCAAACTAATGCACCCGTAACATAACATAAATCAAAACATACAGTTATCGCGTAAACCTGTACCTCTAGTCTATCTACTATTTATAAATCCTAAAAAGTCCGCCGCCGGTTACTCCCAAAAAGGCTTATTGCGGCGCCGTCGATTGACGCACGAGGGTGAAATTTTCACGACTCGTGGGTCACGTCATTCAACAGGTCGTATTAAATTTTGGGCACGATGCGGCCGGGGGTGCGCCCGTGGCGCGTGCTCATGTGCGCCATAGGGTTAGCATTAGAATCGGCAAAAACAGGCTACTGCTCGGGAACGGTAAGGGCTACGGGGGTGAAATTTTCACGCCAAGTCGATCGCATGCACTCATTTGTCGTGTTAAATTTTCGACGGTGTGGGATCAGCGGTGTGCACGTGGTGGGGCCGCGGCCGGCGCCGAGCAAAACGCTCGTGCTTTAGGCTCAGTTGTTCGCTTAAAAACTGACTGGAAATAATCAGAGCCGGCAGGTCATTGACCTTTGACAACGAAGGCCGACACCAGGCAACCCTCGCCAAGGGGATTCGCCAGTAAATACGATAAATTTGTTTTTGCAATATCTCAGCCGTTTCTGGGCCGATTTAGCTGAAACTTGGACTGTCGGTGATAGGGTAGGGTAGGGTATTGTAGGTTAGGGTAGTTTAGGGGTAGGGTAGGGTAGGGTAGGGTAGGGTAGGGTAGGGTAGGGTAGGGGATTGTAGGGTAGGGTAGGGTAGAGTAGGGTAGGGTAGGGTAGTGTAGGGGTAGGGTAGGGTAGGGTAGGGTAGGGTATGGTAGGGGATTATAGGGTAGGGTAGGGTAGGGTAGGGTAGGGTAGGGTAGTGTAGGGTAGGGTAGGGGATTGTAGGGTAGGGTAGAGTAGGGTAGGGTAGGGTAGTGTAGGGGTAGGGTAGGGTAGGGGTAGGGTAAGGTAGGGTAGGGTAGGTTAGGGGTAGGGTAGGGTAGGGTAGGGTAGGGTAGGGGTAGGGTAGGGTAGGGTAGGTTAGGGTAGTGTAGGGGTAGGGTAAGGTAGGGTAGGGTAGGGTACGGTAGGGTAGGGTAGGGTAGGGGGTAGGGGTAGGGGTAGGGTAGAGTAAGGTAGGGTAGTGTAGGGGTAGGGTAGGGTAGGTTAGTGTAGGAGTAGGGTAGAGTAGGGTAGGGTAGGGTAGGGTAGGTTAGTGTAGGAGTAGGGTATGTAGGGTGGGTAGGGTAGGGTAGGGGTAGGAGTAGGAGTAGGGTAGGGTAGAGTAGGGTAGGGTAGGGTAGGGTAGGGTAGGGTAGGGTAGGGTTGAATTGAGTAACATCCTAACTTACATAGGGCTCGAACAACTCGCATGCATCACCATCATACTTAACAGTTCAATTAAAAGCAGTTACCCAGTTCTACACAAATAATACCAATTAAAATGCAAGTTTCTACACCCAAACTAATGCATCCGTTAATCATACATATCAAAACATACAGTTATCGCGTAAACCTGTACCTCTAGTCTATATTATAAATCCTAAAAAGTCCGCCGTCGGGGTTACGCCCAAAAACGCTCATTGCTAAGCCGTCGATTGACGCAGGGGGGTGAAATTTTCACGGCTCGTGGGTCACGTCATTCAACAGGTCGTATTAAATGTTGGGCACGATGCGGCCAGGGGTGCGCCCGTGGCGCGTGCTCACGTGGTGTGCCATAGGGTTTACACTGGAATCGGCAACAGGCTATTGCTCGGGAACGGTAAGGGCTACGGGGGTGAAATTTTCGCTGTAAGTCGGACGCGTGCACTCAATTGTCGTATTAAATTTTCGAGGGTGTGGGTTCAGCGGTGTGCACGTGGTGCGGCCGCGACCGGTGCCGAGCAGAAGGCACGTGCTTTAGGCTCAGTTGTTCGCTTGCCAAACTGAGTGGAAATAATCAGAGCCGGCAGGTCATTGACCTTTGACAACGAAGGCCGACACAAGGCACCGCTCGCCAAGGAGATTCGCCAGTAAATACAAATTAATTTGATTTTGCAATATCTCAGCCGTTTCTGGGCCGATTTAGCTGAAACTTGGACTGTCGGTGGTAGTGTAGGGTAGGGTAGGGTAGGGTAGGGTAGGGTAGGGTAGGGGTATGGGTAGGGGTAGGGTAGGGTAGGGTAGGTAGGGTAGGGTAGGGTAGGGTAGGGTAGGAGTAGGGTGGAGTAGGGTAGGGTAGGGTAGGGTATAGGGTAGGGGATTGTAGGGTAGGGTAGGGTAGGGTAGGGGATTGTAGGGTAGGGTAGGGTAGGGTAGAGTAGGGTAGGGTAGGGTAGGGTAGTGTAGGGGTAGGGTAGGGTAGGGTAGGGTAGTGTAAGGTTAGGGTAGGGTAGGTTAGGATAGGGTAGGGTAGGGTAGGGTGAAGTAGGGGATTGTAGGGTAGGATAGGGTAGGGTAGGGGATTGTAGGGTAGCGTAGGGTAGGGTAGAGTAGGGTAGGGTAGGGTAGGGTAGTGTAGGGTAGGGTAGGGTAGGTTAGGGTAGGGTAGGGTAGGGTAGTGTAGGGGTAGGGGTAGGTTAGGGTAGTGTAGGGTAGGTTAGGGTAGGGTAGGGTAGGATAGGGTAGGGTAGTGTAGGGGTAGGGTAGGGTAGGGTAGGGGTAGGGTTAAGTTAAAAAAGGGCCTAACATACAAAACACTTGAACACCCCGCACCTATCACCAACCCTTACAGTTTAATTAAAAACAGCTTCCCAAATCTATCCAAATAATACATCTAAAAATACAAGTCAATCACCCAAACTAATGCACCCGTAACTTAACATAAATCAAAACATACAGTTATCGCGTAAACCTGTACCTCTAGTTTTCATTAAAATCTGAGAGATGAGGGTGACGGGCCTGGTACGATCTATCGTTTAATGCCCCTGCTTCCACATTATGAAACATGATGATTGTGGGAGTTACTATACCCTTAACCGTTTAATGTGTAACTTCATCATTCATTCACCTGTTAAGCGCTCCAGCTACTATTGTCATGTCTTGTACCCTTTGGATAAGGCAAATGTAGCACATCAAGGTTTAAATCATTGCATGCAGATTTGTATTGATTGTTTTTACATACACCTTTTGAATCATATCCACATACAATAATGTAACAATTAATTTATGTTTTCAAAGTGATGTTTATTTACCAATCTCATAACACTAATAAATTCAGTCAGTTTTGGTGCGTGTAGTAATCACACAAACGGTAATTAGCATGTTACTTACTACACCATAATTGTTTCACAGTTGTCCGACCATGGAAGGCCCGATACGAGAGGCATGGCTAAACTTCAGTCAGATCACTCCACTGGAGGCGAAGGGTCGCCGTCTCCTCTTTTGCTGTGCCCATTTCCTCAAGAGTGACTACATAGAATTGGTGATCGACCCTGGCGGGGCCTAAAGCCATCAGCAGTGCCTTCACAGGTTAGTGCTGTAACGAACGAAACACATGGTATGTTTTGGTTGAATGCTGAACGTCCTTGCTTTCAACCCAATTAGAAGCCATTCGTCCTTGCCATTCGTCATATATTACATATCGTAATTGTCTTCATGTCATTTTCATATCAGTATTACATGTGATAAATTCGAATAAAAAGACAAACATGTAACTTTGCTAATGTGAAGGAAAACTTGTTTCCCAGAACGCTCCTCGGGGACAGCTGCTGACAGAACCAGGACCATCTATGGCACAGCAGGTATGAAACACTCAGGCCCAATCTCACCAAGTGCGGTAAACTCAATTTGGGGTAAAATACCAAACTACCCCACTCCGTAACTACAAAAATACTGTCCCAAAATTAAGTTTACATAACTTGGTGAGATTGGGCCAAGTGCCCAACCTCACCAAGCTAGTTTAACTAATTTCGGGGTAGTATTTTTGTAGTTATGGAGTGGGGTAGTTTGGTATTTTACCCCAAATTGAGTTTATCGCACTTGGTGAGATTGGGCCAATCCATCTAGTTTTAACCCGCGCCCTGCTGGGGGGGGGGGGTGTTTGAACACCCCCTTCGTGGTTTTTCGCGAATATCTCAAAAACGGCGGCGCGGAGCGCCGCCGTTTTTGGTACACCTTATCATACATCAATTCTACACATGTTGTGAAAATTTCAGACCAAGGTCATTCAAGGTCAGGTCACCAGGTCACTTGAAGTGACCTCACCTCATAAAAAGTTTCAATGTCTGTCATAGCTACACCGAGTGACCGATCGCTTTGAAACTTTCAGCGATCGCTAAGAGCAATAGCATGTACAAAATGTATATCTCAGAATTTTGATATCGATGACCTAAGGTCAGGTCAATTTTGCGACCTCCCCATTATAAGTCAATGGGAGAAAATTGAAATGCGCCTCTTTTGGACGAAAGACATTATAAACACTCCCAAACACCGAATTACAAGTGGTTTAGACACACTGAACATGAAAATGGTGTCCGTGACCCTTGTTTATGCCCTGAGGTCATCTTAGGTCACGAATGGTATCTATCAGTTTTTCGCAAATAACTTTTGATAGAGGCATGCTAGAGCGATGAAAACGCCTTAGATGTGTTCAGCTCGACGATACGGTTCGACTGATATGCAACATGACCCTTTCCGGTCAGGTCATGACCTTGACCTGAGGTCAAATTTTCAAGTTGACCTTTCAAGGTCAAGTTATAGTTCATTCGATGCGTCTTGACGAGAGGAACACGATGCCGGTAAAAATAAGCTCGTACAGGGCTTGGGTCAAAAGTTATTGCAGAAAAACTGTTTCCGAAAAAATCGGCTATTTTTGCAGTTTTTGCCCCCTGCAGGCAAAACCGTTGACGTTAGGTCAAATCTGAGAGAATACTCAGAAAGGGCGTTAACAGGGCTATCGAATGCGCTTTTCCGCGGCGCTGTAGCTCTATTGGTTCCCGAGTTATGCGTTGGCTTCTTGGAACTTTTTGACATTCGACCTGGAAATCGGCGAAATTTTGCCTTCAATGACCTCTGGTGACCTGACCTTTGACCTGACCAAAAAATTGACTGAAGTGATTTCGTCAGAGGTCAAAAAAACTTCCTACTCGCTTACATTGTAGGCGACAGAAGCTGACAGGCACCAGAGACATTTGGTGACAAAGTCACGAAAATGGTGAACACACTGCATCGCATTTGTTGACGGCGTTTTCGCACACTGCTAGCGAACAGACTAACCAGCCAATCCGCGGCGAGAATAACCCTGAGCGAACCAATCGGATGCTGGTGACACGAGGGGACAACGCTGAGCTGACGCCCCAGCCGCCGGGAGCCTTCACTGTGGATTTTGTAGGCCCCAGGAGCCAACTCATCAAAGATTTTGAGCGGGCCTTTTCGGCGCACGTCTATGAGAGGTATGCTGTGATCATGAACACGTAGCAAAACAGGAGTGGACTCTCGCGAGTAGCGCGTGCTTCTCCAATTTTCAAACAAGTTTGAATGCTTTCAAGAAAGGGACTGGCGCCGTGATGAAAGCTGAGTTGTTGTATTGTGGTTATGAAAGGCAGGAAATAACACTGGAGGTGGAGGTAAGGAATCTTGGGGTGTCTAATTTTGCTGGTTTAGGTACTTGTAAGTTGGATCAACAACGCTAGCCCGGTGGGGATCAAAAGCAAGGCTGAGGCTGTGTGGATTTGTTGCCTGATTTTGAAACACTTGCCAAAGTTGTCAATGAATAGATGTTTTTACTGTTAATGTTGATACAAATTTCATTTTGATTTTAATCTTTTCAGCCCTAGAAGAGCAGGAATTTCAATTTTCATTAGCTGGTAAAAGTAGGTATACCAGTCCAAGGACTCCGAAAAAATGTTGTAGGTTGGTATGTAGGTTGTAAGCTGCGAGGTTGTAGGCTGGTAGGTTTTCTGTTTTGTGTTGGTATGTTGTAGGTAGGTTGTAGGTTAGTAGTTATGTAAGTTTGGTTCAGGCTTAATTGTTTTGCCTTCATTCCGACTTCTACTCTTTTACTCTTGCATAAAGTGTTTAAGAACTCTGAATGAAAGAAAAACATTATCATTACCTAACCTAATCTTACTTTCTACCCTACCACCATACCACCCATTACCAACCAGCCTACAGCCTATCTACCTTCTACCTACCTGTACCTACAAGCTACAACTTCCCTACCTTAAACCTGCCAACCGACAAGCTCCGAAGCATACAACCCACCTACCTAGCACCTACACCTATTTTATTTTGACTTATTGTATACTATTAACAAAAATCTAATGATTAGAATTTGGGTTCAACAATATTAGTGGCCTTGATGTGGAAAAGGAACGTTTTGCAACATGTTCCATAGGTAGGTATATTGTATTATACATAGGCACCTATTATTTGTTATGTCATAACAGGTGTGAAATCTCACCATATAGAACACAAACCTAAATGTATTATGGAAAAATGTAAAATAGAATGTAAGCAATTCTTAAATGCATCTGCACAAGATTAGTTACACATGTATTCAGTGTCCCAAAGTTGAGTTTTGGCTGGGGTGTCAGAGGGGCATATTATCCACCAAAAAGGGGTAGAAGGTGGAAACTGCTGGTTAGAATAGATACAAAAAGAGTGAGAAAAGATCAATAGCCTTTATTTTTATCCATGAGTATCTATTATGATCATAAACCAACTCCAAGTATCCACACAACTCAGTCCACCACACCTGTCCACCTGTTTAAGTCCACCACACCTGAACTGCCTTTTGAGGTAACAAGGTGTTCTTGGCTGAGAGTGGTTAATTGCTCTTAGAAATTGGTGGTGAGAGTGGCAAATGAATCTCAGTATTTCCCACCCAAATCAACAAATTTTGGGACACTGTAATAATACATTATCCAGGTTTAGGGCCACACTAACATTGGCGACACTAACATTAACACTGGCCTGATGAAGCCTAGATTTTTTCCCAATTTTATCACCCTAGCCCGCGCCCTGGTGTGGGTCTGAGCCACCTTCGCCCTGGTGGGGGGGGGGCCAAAATGACCCCCCCCGTCTAACTCGAAAACGAAGAGGGCTAGGAAGACGCGGAAAAAAGCAAACGAAAGCCCATAACAAGTACGTTCGAAAGTATTTCGGTCATTTTTTCGCTAAGGTCAATATTGAGGTCGCTAGAGGTCATCATAGGTCAAATTTCAGTGTTTTCGGTGTTGCCGGACATATTCCGCTGTAGCTCGGAAACTAGAAGAGCTAGAGAGCCGCGGAAAAAAGCAATCGATAGCTCTTTTCAAGCTCTTTCGCCAAGGTTCGTCAGATTTGACCTCAGCTCAACGGTTTGGCCTACAGAGGTCATGCAAGGTCAACTTGGCAAATTTCTTTGAAAATGTTTTTAACTATAGCATGCATTCACGAGAAAATAGAGAAACGATTCATGCACCATCGTGCTTGGCTCGTCGAGACGCGTCGAATGATATATAGTTTGACCTCGAAAGGTCATTTTGAAAATTTGACCTCAGGTCAAGGTCATGACCTTACCGAAATAGGTCATGCTGCATATCATTCGATCCGCATTGACGAGACAAACACGATAAACGTCGAACGGAGTCTTTATCTCTATTCAATAACAAGTAAGTGCAGAAAAACCGCTGGTGACCTCTGGTGACCAGGGAGATGACCTAGCGTGACCTCAGCGAGGTCACAAGCAAATGGTTTCACATGGGCTGTGATTTGCTGACCCAAGACACTTCAATAACGAAATATAGGAACAATCACGCCCGATTTAGCTGAAAAACAACTACTTTTCGATTCTCCCATTGACTTATAATGGGGAGCAGCGATGACCTGACCTGACCTTAGGTCACATTTATAAAAAATCCGAGATAGCCATTTTGTAGAGCTGGGTGACATCTTCAAGTACTGTAAATTTTACATCGATCGGATAAAAGCTGTGCCTTTGAGAGAGCTTTGAACTTTTTTAGAGGTGGTGTCAGTTTTGGTGACCTTGTGACCTGACCTGACCTGACCCGAACCCCCCAAAAAAGGACATGATGTAAAAATGTTGAATAAACAGCTATACAAAGTTTCAGGGCGCTAACTCAAGTGGTTTCTGAGTTATCGCTGAAAAACCACAGGGGGGGGGCCAAAATGGCCCCCCCCACCAGGGCGAAGGCTAGTGCAACACTTATCCGGCCTCTGGGGGCAGGGGACACAAAGGGGGTTGAAAAATTTTGTAGGTGACACAAAATAAGTTTTTTTGACCTCTGGATTTCGTCATTATTTTTGACGCTCTTTCGAACGCCGCCTTCCGCGTGTCGCTACGTGGCCCAGGAGCCGAGTTACAAGGGGGGGTGTTCAAACACCCCCCCCCAGCAGGGCGTGGAAATCCAGGACCCCCAGCCGGGCGCGGGTTAAACTGTTAAATATAGTTAAATCATTTAATATTAATGCACCGACAAATTGGGAATGGGAGAAGTCTACTGAGAACTCGCTCTTATCACGCATTCATCACACAGTGACAAAGTTTTCCCCTACTTGAGAAGATGCACGAAGTACGCGAAATTACACTCGTGACAAATAAGGTTCTGTATTCGGTAGGACGTTCCGGTACATTCGTCTTCGTCAACCGATACGCTGCGGCAGCCGTCGCCGTCGACGGGGCCCCAAACCACAGAACCCATGGAACTTCAACCTACGGATTCAGCTTCAACTGCAGGAGCAGATTCCCCTGCTGAGATTTCCATCGAACAAGAGGTCACACGTACAAGACCACTCCCTCCAACGGAACGGCGCTCGTAAGTTAAAGGGACCCTCCCACCTTCAAAAAAGTTTATGAATTGGCATGAAAGTGATGTCGCTCGGTTCAGAAAGAGCGAAAACGAATATCTACCAAATTTCAGCGAAAAATATTTACCGATTTTCAAGATATTATACTTTTACTTTTGTTTACTTTTTTTGGGATCTCCGCTGTTTCTAGCGACTTTATTTTAGAAGTGCGGCGTTTGCGGCAGATGTTGCGCGCAAATAGCATATACCACCGCGTGCTACAAAACGTTTTAGTCAAACATTTAAAAATCGTTAGATATCTGCGCTGACGTCACACATTCAGAGGGGTATTCCTAAGCATTAGCCCCTCTGAATCAAATTGCTGCAATTTTGAAATTCAATATTTCCGATTTAAGGCATTTCTCGATGTTGTGAGTGTTCTGTCGTGATTCTGTCCTCGCCTCGCGTCGACCAGAGAGCGGTACGGAATGGCACACTTCTGTATTAGTCCGACACACCCGGCACGGGACTCCCCCGTGCCGGCTCCCCGTCCAGACACATGCCCACGCGGCCAGGGCTCAGCGGCGATGCGATGCGATGCGATGCGATGGTTTTCGGAGGTTTAGCCTTTGTATCGGCACCTCCTTGATTTCTTAATCTTTAACTTTTACTTTGATCGATGGGTTGCATTGTTATGGTTGGTTTGTGTGGCTAGGATTCTCACTAGGGGACAGGATTGGGTGTTGGGAGGATGAAGGTCAACTAGGATGGAGAACTTTGTTTTATTTCCAGCAGTCTTCTTTTCTTCCACAGCTTAAGCAATACTTCTTTCTTTTCTTCGATATCTTCCTCCTCAAACAGAAATATCCCTAAAATATCCTTTGCATAGGGTTTCTGAAGATGCATTGATTCTTTTCTTTCTTCTTCGTAGGCTGGGCAATTCAATATAAAGTGGGCGAGGTCTTCATTTTCTGCATTGCACATCATACATCTTGTGTCCTCTTTCTTGTATCTCTTGCGCTCATTTAGAGGAAGACAGTTAGCTCTTGCCTGGAAAAATATTGTTGATGCTTGCTGGTTGTCAATAAACGTTACTTCCTTCATCTCCTTTTTCCAGACAATATACAGGGACAGAGTAGTTTTAGTTAACAATTCCTCCTTCCATTTCTTTCCATCCCATTTTTGCATGTGTGTTTTAAGGTCTTGTTTGCTTATCTGATACAAATCCTTTACTTTGAGTCCGACTTCCTTAATAATGGAATAGGTTACCTTTATCCATTTGTTCTTGCCCTCGTCCATCATTTCTGTTAACACCTCTTTGAGTAGTTGATTTTTTCCTTGCAATATGCTTCTCATGTACTGAAGTCTTCCAGTTTTAATCCTTGTTGTCATCAGAGATGCTCCAATTTCTCCTCTCAATGCAGCATTTGGTGCATATTTTGGAGCCCCCAAGATCTGTCTGTAGACACCATTTTCGATTACTTGCAGCTTCTTGGTCTCTTCCTCTGTGACTGTCATGACACTGGAGCCGTACAGTATTGATGGCAGTGCTAGGGATTTCCAGTAGGTCTTACCAATCAGCAGTCTGTTGCATGATTTTGAAATTACTGAATAGGTCATGTTTGCCATTCTTTGTGCCTTTTCAATCATGATTCTTTTCTGCCCTCTGAACACATCCCTTGTATTTGTTACTTTCAGACCTAAGTATTTTATGTTTTCTTTTACTTCAATACAGGGGCGCCGCCACGGATTTTTGACTGGGGGGGACGGACTGACCGACTGAAAACCCAAAAGTAGGCATTCTTACCGTGGCTTTTTCGGTACGATGCATTCAAAGTTTGAAGCAAATATGCCACCTTTAACATTGGGTTTTGAACTGAAGTAAAAGTTTTGTAGCCTGAGCTGAGACGAGAACAAATCAGGAGCTTTTATGGCTCAACGATCACCCTAGCCAAAGATATCGGTATCGATTTTAGGTTTGAAGACTGAAGTCATTCCTATAATTACACTTTGTCATTCCCTCACCGAGGAATCCATTCCCTTACGGAAAAATGCCAGCCAATCAGCATTCAGCTGGTTTGAACTTCGTAATCACCTATAGGTAACAGGCCCATGTCACTCCACTTTTGATGACATCATAGGGGGGCCTCAGGACAATAATGGCGCGGTGCGCCACAATCGCTTCAAAGCTACTTGCCAACAGTCGCCATTTCTGAAAATATTATTTTGAAATAAAGTTACAAGTAATAAAAATATTGTAATAAAGTTGTTGATTAAATCGATACCATATCTAAAAACTTACTGAAAAATGATTTATTCATAGTAAAAATATAAGCTCGATGCGTTTTTACGTTGCTTTCCTGCAACTGCAGAGGATTTTTAAATCGTCTATATCTTCAAAACCGGCCATTTCTTAGCATATTGCTGCTCTTCTTTATCGCTAGAAAATTAGTTGGACTTTTCGATGACATCAACGGTTGAGCGATATATGTAGAGTGTCACCAACAATCTTCAAATGAAGTTAGTCATTTTTACGTTGTAAAGGAATGGAGCACCCTTTGCGAGCATCAGGGGTGACGTCACTCAGGATCTGTCTCTGATTGGTCGGCGGGAGAGTGACTGTACCTTCTATATATGGCCTTGATAGGTAATGCATATTGCATACCCGCGTGGGGGAGGAGGCGTTGTATAGTTACAATCTCTCTGTCTGGGTCGTGCATGAATCGGCGCGAAGCGCCGCGAAAATTGGCAAAAAACATCAGGCAAAACTGCTCTAAAATACGAATTTTGCAGCCCGTTTAACAAGCTTGATACCAGAAAACCTTAGGTCAGGTCACCAAGTCAAGTAGTCAAGTCGCCTCAAAGTTTTGTGGTCCTGTCAAGAATCTTGGTCCTGTCAACGGTATAGCTTATTTCTTAGAAGCTGAAAATTTGGTGTAGTGTGACTGCAGAACTGTGGGGTCGGAGCCGGAATCAGTCGGAGTTGACGGTTTTGGCCAGAGTTGGAGTTGAAGTCTTCGAAATTATTCAGATTTTGACTCCGAGGTCGGATTGGTTTAAATTCATGCTCTTGGGCCTTGGCTGGTTAGACGAAATATATTATGCCCGTTTTCGGCCAGTCGTGTTATACGACACACGTTGATCACGATATCAAAAATCGGCAGTTCCGCGATGACAGGTCGGATAAGAGCTGGAGATTTCGTTGGCCGAGGTGGCAGGGGTCAGACCAATGCATGTAGGCCCGTACCCCATATACTGAGTATCTAAACCTCCTGGACCCTCTCAGATTCGGCACCGGCCGTTCCATCTCTTCCATCCTCAGGACAGTCAAATCCTTCTCCTTCACGCCGCGATCCCCTGCTCCGGGCTGGACGGGCAACTCTATCCCATGCGGGAATGACTCCACTGGAGCCAGAGTCCGTTGCCGGGTACAGTGAGTGCCAGTGGGCTGGGCTGCCTGTTCAATTGGTCGAGTTCAGCCCAAGTGGCTCACTGGGGTGGCTGCCCAGACCAATTTCTCCCACTAATTCTTTCATCCTTCCGGCTCTGAAATGGTCTCATTGGACCGAAGGGCCTAATCATATTTCGAGTAGGAAAACAACCAGTAAAACGCCTTTTGGGGTGACTAACGGAGCGAGCGAGGGGGTGGGCCTTGCACGTACGAAATTGCGAGGGGGTACCTCCAAGAAACTTGTGCACTGCACCCTACTAACCGGCGTCTAACGATGTGCCAAATTTGAGCGCAATCGGCCTAGCCGTTCTCGAGATCTGTAAGCGGCACCCTGCACGTGCGCACGTGCAAAATGGGTCCCAACTGACTTTTGCACGGCACCCTAATAACCGGTCCCTAACCATGTGTCAACTTTCAGCACAATCGGTTCAGCCGTTCTCGAGATCTGGGATCGACCCCTGCACGTGCGCACGTGCAGCAGCACCCCAAATGTGGCACATGGTCATGGATATGCATTGCCTGGTGGGTGCCTACCTACCTACATGCCAACTTTCAGCGCAAACGGCCCAGTTATGTTACCGAGATACCTATTGCAATTGTTACAAAACTGACACCTCTTCGTTTTTCACGTGGCGGGTGCATAATGGGTCACCCACATGCATCGAGAATAGTTCAATGCTTGTTAGAAGGAATGAAGCTACCCTACAAAAATTACCGCATGTAAATCAGTCAAGTGGTTCCTGAGACATAAGTCTCGCAAAAGCGTGACCATCGGCCGGCCGCTCATACTCATAAATTTCCCGAAAGACTACGCTCGCTTCGCTCGCTCCGTAATGAGTTTGGGGGGGACGTCCCCCTTCCATTCTGAGAGTGGGGGGGACGCGTCCCCCCCGTCCCCCCCGGTGGCGGCGCCCATGCTTCAATATCTTCTATGCTTCTGTGCTGTTCTTTCAGATTAAATGTGATAATGTTGCTCTTATTCTTGTTTATGTCTAGTCCACACTCCTTGCTAATTGCTGTCAGTCTTCTGATGCTAGTCTCTGTTTCTTCAATAGAATGGTTCAGTAGGAGCCCGTCGTCAGCAAAGAATAGGATTGGCAGCGTAAATTTGCAGCTTCTGAACCCTGCTTCTGTTGCCTCCATTACTTTTGTGATGATATAAGTCATGAGCTTGAAGAAGGCAGTTGATCCTGTACACCCTTGCCGTATACCACTTGTTACTAAAATCTCTAACTTAATGTTCTCATTTAGTTCAATCCAGGTTCTGTCTCCTTGGTATGTGGCTGCCACAGCATCAATCATTTTGGGGTGAATCTTGTATTTCATGAGCACCTCTACCATCCTAGCTCTATCGATGGAATCAAACGCCTTGCTGTAATCAATTGAAGTAACAATCAGAGGTGCCTTCATTTTAAAGCTTTCTTCCACACAGTACTGTAATAGGAAAAGGTTGTCCTCTATCCTTCCTCCTCTCGTAAACCCTGCTTGTGTCTCTAACTTTTGCTCTGCGCTTTCTAGATGATCTTCTAGTCGCTGTTTTAGAATTGACATGTAGATCTTATATGACACATT